GTTTTGTAAAAAAACGATTTTCTATTTTATGAACCGACGACTCAAATTCGAATCTAATTCGTCACGAGAGGTTCCCGCGCAAAGGCAGATCGAAAGCGCACGCGGCAAACGCTCAGGAAACGCTTCGTTGCAGCCAGAGATGAACCTTGAGATTGCGGTTTTCTTTTATGCCAAGGCTGTCGAGGCCTACACGCGTCCTCTATCTCTGTGTTAGGGACATTGCGCGAAGTCACGAATGCTGTAATTGAAAATCAATATTTGCGCTCGCGCTCGCCACCCTCCGGCTCGCCCCGCGTGGACGGAATACTTCATCCGACCGATCGAAATCTTTCGAGCGTGCACGGGCCTCTTACGTTTCCTCTTTGTCCCCCCCCCCCTCTGACTCTTTCGTTAAAGTAGGATGACGATTTCCGATCGATTTTTTTCAAGGACCTTTTGTTACTTCGACAAAGAATCAAAGTTCTGCGGAAGGAGCCTCGTCCGGAATTGACAAATTGCCTGATGTTTATTGATTCAGCTCGAGACAAGTAGCGACTGATTAAGCGGAACTTCGGCCAAAAGTTTAATTGTTCCTTATTCGAACTAATGCTAATTGTTCGCCGGCAGCGACCGTCGCCTAATTTAATCATAGACTTATTTTACTTACAATTAGAGGCTGCGCGAATAATTTGAGAAGTTGTGGATTCGGGACGCGTTTTCCTCGAGCTATACGTACGTACGTTTACCGGGGAATTGAATCCTCGAGCCGGGGAAATACAGTTGTACCGAGTAACTTCAATGCAACCAAAATCGATAAAACCGAAAAGAGTATTTATCAACACTGAAGGGAGATGAAAAAATATTCGATTTAATCTCTTTGCCGCGTCGCCTTCCTTTTCAGAGCTCGTGAAAAGGTCCGAGTACTCTGAGGAAAATCGTGTCGAAGCATCTTCGAGAACATAGATAGGCGAAAGGCTTTTCGCGGTTTGTTTCGAAGCTACGCTTTCCACCTGGGATTCCTATCTCGTCCATTTGAGAAGTCAGATGTCTATCGACTCGTCCTGCGGGTTCTCACCTTCGGACGCCGGCCAGAGGCATCGTGTAAAGGATCACAAAATTAACTAATTCGTGATCCGACGAAGGCACACGTCGTGGGCTTTTTAACTTGTTGCTTTTGACACGATTCCAAAGTTTAATCCATCAAATTAGAGATAAAAAGTTTGGAAAATAGTTGAGAATAGTAAATGCTTTAGGTAGAAAATAAACGATGCACAGGATTTGAACATTGCACTTTATACAAAGTTAATTACAGGTGAGCTAACCGGTAGTTCGCGGCTGTCGTGTAAGCCTGCTCGCTTATTACCCTACGAACGAGCATAACTTGCTAGCTGGCTAAAGAGTGGAAAAGGGAGGTCCAAGTTGTCGGTCTAACGACGTGGGCGTGCGCCGAACAAAATAGCGTGGAACCGCGGCCGATCGTGGTCGCATAATCAGCTCTATTGAGCAATCTAGCCACTATGGATCGCGGGAGATCGTGTATGTATTACAGCCTCGTCGAGGAGCCAGTGGTGGTCGATGGTCTGGTTCGGTCTCGCGACGGCTCTCGGTCGGCCCTCGCTTTTCACCCACTGTTCGCTCCTCCCTCCGTCGTTTCCTGTGTCGAGACGCGCGCGTATCCCCTGCGACACGGCAAATAAACGGAGAACGCGAGCTTAATTGCACCCTTTCTCTCGCCTCTCCTCTCGTCCCGCGAACGCTCCGCTGCAGTTTTCGGCATTCGGACAAAAGCGGCCTTTTTCCAAAACGAATATGCACGATCGTCGTACAGTGGTCGGAAATCCACTTACATAAAATCTTCGGGAAGTTGTATCGTAATGTTTATTATTAACCCCGTCCGGTAAAATGACGAGTTTAGCTTATCATTGATTTTATTATTAAATCGTTCCGGAAAGGGTTGAACAGGAAATTTATTATTATTAAACAATGACGATGGTCTACTATCGTATTCGCGTAGTTTATTTCCGATTCGGTGCTTTAATCAATACGAAACAAAGACTGAATGTGTTTCCGAAAATTGTACAATTCTATCCGAATTCGCGTGGAATAATTCCAGCCGCTCGGTTTTGAAAACTTATCCTCCGTAATTAGAGTAACGGTTCGTCGATTATCAACGTTCGTGTTTCGTTTCTTATAATGCAGATTTACAGGCGGAAAGCTGTTTGAACTATAAAAATATTGTAACGTCTGGCCGAGAATAGACGAAGCTAGTTTTAGGCGCATTGCGGCAGTTGCATCGGGTCTCTACTCCTTGGGCAAAGTTCCTTTCTCGTTTCCCGCGTACGCTAATTATCTTGTACTTTAAATTGCACGGCTTTGAAAGTTTCCCGGGCATCTGAGAAGAAGAGTTTCAAAGGTATTTCCATGGAAATTGTACTCTGATTGATTCTGACTTATCAATTCAGCTTGATCGCGCTTCACAGCCTCGCTTATCGTAAAAGAATATCCGAGAAGGAGATTAGCGTTCCAAGTGTCACAGAGACGTTAACTCTTTGTCGCGATCTTCGTCTTTTTATCTTCAAATTCTTAATCGCAACGCGTATTCGATTCGACGTAAATTTAATAACGCTTCCATGAAGCGCGTTCCTTTGGAGGATCGTTAAAACGTTTCTCTCCTCCGCCACTCGGAAAAAATTGAAGCCCAGACCTCAGTGGTTCTTAAATTCTCCAAGGGACGAGTATTTACTTCTGCTTTTAAAAAATTGTCGACCAATCGTTCTAGAGTTCTTCCCGCGAGATAAGCGACGACGCTTGAGCATTATTATATAGACACGCAGTCACTTACCTTTATCTTCGGACACCTTTGAAACTGTGTCGCGAACTTTCCTGCTGTAATTACAGCCGTGCTCCCTTCGATGTCAAGTTTAAAGATAATCGATTAAAAGAGATCGGAGAATTTGTTGCATCTCTTGTAAACCTATCTCCTTGGCTGACTTTACTATTCTGTTCTGCATACAGTATCGGGATTGGCAGGCGTCTAAAATGTATGGCAGTGGTCGGAGATCCGATCGATCCGAGTGCGGTTTTTCGCGAGCAGGTGCGCGAGTAGCCCGGCTCCGGCCTGGCTCGCTCGACATTTTATAATTCAGGATGCGGGGCGAGAAACGGAAGAAATTACGGGAGAGACGTTGAATGATCGTCGGCTGTACTCTCGTGCGGCACGAAACTTTTAAAGCTCATATCGATGATTTTCGGTCGCCGGAACGAGACCCAGAATCCGACCTGCCTCACCATTTTTTTAATGCCTATCGAATAGATATTAAAAACGTCTAGTGCTCTTCCTATGATTACTCTTCTTCATCGCTTTGTCAGACGTTTTCATTTGGATAATTGCAAAGTAAAAAGTTTTCCGGTCTCGATTCAAGGAACTCGTACACGCGTGTCATGAAAATGACGGCCGATCGAGATTAATGCCGTCGCGGAAGAGAGGAGTTTAAAAATCGGGTGAAAGTGGCATCCTCCGAGGCGAAGAAGTTAATTAAAGAGTCGGTAAGACGAGGCTGCGCGTCCGGAATATCGATTAACCCTCTTCCGGTAGGATTCAATTTGAAATTTTCAATTCAATCCCGATCGAAACGTGGAATTTATTATCTCGGCGTGGTGTCTCGTGCTATTATAATAATTTTAATAAAGCGATTCATCCTTTTGGCCGTCCCTTCCATCTATTTTCAGTTCCTGAGGCCGGGTCACGAGAATGCTTCGAAGAAAGATGACTCTAGGGCTTCGCGGCCCTGCGTCCTGACCTAAAACCGTGGTTCCGGGTTACGAGTCCCGTTATATTTTCGATGTACACTGACGAACAGAAACCCGATGATCCCGTCTATGCGAGAGGGAAAATAGATGAGAGACGAAACGACGACACGGTTATAATTGCCGCGCATCGATTTCCTCGTCTCCTCGATGCCAAGCCCCGTCTCTCGTTTCGTCGACGCCCGTCCGACACACTCGTCCTCTTACAAATCGAACCGAATTCGACACGGCGCCGCTGTTAATCGTTCACCGCGCCACGATTCGATGACTGCTCCGCTCGTCCCTGTCACATAGCTTTTCGTCCCGCCGTCCCATCTGATTCCTGTATCCCAAATCTCTAGTTAAAAATATTTTTCAATATGACAGGAGCGGAGATAATTTCGATATCGGTTTCACGGAAGCTTCCCAGTCTCACGGAACCTTGTTAACGTTCCTGCTATCTGTCTTGCTCACTGATCCGTTTTAATATCTTGCGGGGGTCTAAGTAGGAGTCTCAATTTTGATATCTTAGCGGTGGTCTGTTTTTCGATAGGCACAGGGCGAAAGGAGCACGCGCCGATACATATTCAAAGGACGGGAGGGTGGCCGTCTGGTCTGGCACGGGCCATTAGCATCGATCGTCTTCCGGGAGAGTCGGTCCGCGCGTCGACCGACCGTTTATCCTCTCGAGAATTTCCCCGAGTATCGAGTTAAGGTCGGACGGTGGTGCGCCTTGGCTCCGTATTGTCCCGTGGCACGAACGACCATTAATTCTTTCACGACCGGTTCGAAGCTGAAACGGCGGGGTCGGAGATCCACCGACGTGTCCGACTAACGAAAGCCGATCGTTTGCCTCGCGAGCTACCGAAGATCTTCGTAATCGCGCTCGTCCGTTCCGCGTACACGTAAATGGGTAGAGATAATGGGGCCAGAAGTGCGGCAGGCTGGAGGGAACGACCCTTTGGCTGTGTACGCGAATGGAGTTTCTTGCCCGAATGGCTATGGCGATGGATATTATTATTTAGCCCGGGAAACGGGGTCAAGAATCGCTCTGTTAATGAAACACACCAATTATCTATTCAACCCACCGTGAGCCCTTGCCTTTGTTCCCTTAAACGCCTTTGCCTGATATTAACGTGCAAACGAAGGTTAATTTATTAATTAACAGAAAATATAAACGATATTACTTAAGATCTAAATTACGAACTATCTCGGGGGAAGAATTGGGTAATCGCTTTTAATGAAATACGATTTATTTACTAAATATGCGAAATATATATATGTATATACATTAGGCCATACACACAAGTACGTAATCTCTTTCCGACTTTCGGGTTTCGGGATCGTCGACTGAGTGGCGGCTTCGGGATCAGCGCGGTTCTCTTTGCGCCAATCGTTTTGCCTAAGTTCTACGGAAAGCACGATTAAAGTTCCTCGCGAATTCACTTCAACGTCAACAATGTTTGTCCAGTTTCAATTTTTTCTAATTTCTTTTTTTCGTTCGACAAGGTACGTGGTAGATACGGCAGGTGTATACGCGCGTCGTAGCTATTTACAAAGTATACACAAACAGAGATAGAGAGTGAAGTGTCAGCGAAGAGGGAAGTCTAGGATCGCGATCGATGCGAATCCGCTCGCGCGAACACCGAACAAGTGAAATCACGTACTTAAATCAAATTCATAATAGAACGAGGAATTATTCAATCCGTTGAAGATCGAGTCTACGTTAGGCCCCAGTAATTAATTAGGTTCGTCAGAATAATGAGCGTGAACGGATTCGCGTCCACAGTGATCGCAAGCTTAAGATTAGGTCCTCATTACCGAAGCTTGTCGATTACTCGAAGGTATACGGAACAACAGAAACGGATCCTTCTCAAGGATTTCGAGTAGCCGACAGTCGGGCGGAACTTCATAGGCGCGAGGGTTTGAGCGTGAGCCGCGCGAGTATCGCTCGTCTTCTTACGGAAGTGTACAACAGAGGGTCAGAAGCTTCGAAGCCGTACAACAGGGTAGGTACACGTAGGTATCGTTGCGTGCTACGCGAAGGTGCGCGTCATGCGAGAGAAACATGGATATGCGCCGCAAGGGGATCGTGTGTCGGAGCCGTCGAGACGCGGATCGCTCTCGGTCGCGGCTCACGCTTCGCGATCCAGATCTACGCGCTGCGAAAGCCGCACGGCGCAACTGTTCGGTGTGCTCGCGTGCGAGCGAGCGAGCGAGTGAGTGACCGGGGACAGAATTTGGTGCGTCGCGTTAAAAGAATACCCTACGCGATTTCGAACAAATATTTGCCCTGGCCCCCGGTGGTGCTCGTCGAATCGTCCAAATTAATCGGCTTACAGGCTCGTAAATCGTATTTTCGAGTCGCGTGCCGTATGAACACGCGGACCGATAATCCTCTCGGCATCGATCGTCAAGATCGATGCGAGCCGATCGGGTTGATTCGAGTCTCTTAAACTACGACCTCGACCTTTAATTCCGGACTCGTCCCGTGACGATACCGATTAAATACCTGTGTTTTGAGAAACAAAAGAAAAGAAAAAGAATGAAAACCTGACTTCACGGTGCCGTGGAGATTCGATCGAGAACAGACTCCTGTTCGGGTCGCGGCCGTCGATTCCCTCGTTCCCGCCGAGAACGACCGATCGGCCGACGATCATTACTTCTCTGATCTTCTTCCCTCGCTGGATCAGCTTCTTCTTCTCTTCCCGCAGGAGCGCGGCCGGCCGCGTTCGTCGCTCTCTTTCCTAAACCGGTGGCAGTAGCCGTAACAGCAGAGCGCTGGCCACCGTCAGGCAGACGGAAGGCGCCGCGTTGCTCGCGTGTCCCTCCACTGTAACATGTCATAGAAAACCTGCTTCGTCTCGAACGACGACGTAGCCTGCTACGATTCATCAAGCGGAGGAAGGAGAAGGGACAGCCGGTGATTCGATCGATTCTCAAAACTGTTTACACGTTCGGTATAAAGAGTGAGAATTGAGTTGGTGTATCGTAGAAATTTCGTTTCGGAAGCGAAACGACGGCGTCGAAACTTCGGGCCAGGTCGTCTCTTTCGCTCGATAGTCGCGCGATGGAAAAGTTTCGCGCGGGGGAATTCGACGTCGTTCTGAAACGATTCAAAGGAGGCGGGGAATAGATGCGGCAACGCGACGTACGTCGCTTCCAAGAACGACTCGGACTAACGAGAAAATCGAAGATCGTTAAGAGCAATTTCGTCGAGACACGCGCCGTCTTTCTCCTGCTAGTTCGCGCGAGACCATCGTTCCTTCTCCCGCGGTCGAAGCTCCTCTCCGTCCGTCCCCTTTGGCGATTTCGGGCCGACGTTTACCCTTCGCCTTCGTTCGCCGTCCGACCGAGCATAGACCGGAGACCGAATTTCCCGGTCCTTTTCGCCTCCCGCGATCGATCGCCGCGTCCGCTCGCGCTCGCTATCGCGTCCGATTAATTTATCCCCGCTATTTCTTTTTTCCTTCATTTACATTCAAATGGGGATCGCGTAGCAACGCGATTTCGCGTACGACGTGATCGGGCATAACTAACGCGGAACTGATCGCTCCCGTTTCGAAAAGGAAGAAAGAGTAGAAGGGTAGGTAAGGCAAAAGAGGTAAACGAGCGTAAATTATTGTTTTAATTTCGGTGGTTCGCGGCGCTCGTCTCGAGGGAAAACTCGTAGGTAGATTCTGCGGCCACGGACGACGCCGATCGTAAAGCATCCTTAATTCGTTAGCGAGCGGGGGGCGATGCTTAATATCCTGCGAAAGTGACTCCTCGCGTTCCCCCCTACCGCTCCTTCTCCTTTGCGTTCGTCGTTCTCTCTCGCGCGCGCGCCTCTTTCGCACGGAAATAACGAGGTAATCGTTCCTCGTGCCGTCAGGCTCGCGTTAATTAACGCGTCCGACGTTTCGACGCTTCCCTTCTCCGTTTCTTCCTTTTCCCTCCCAGCAACACCGGGTCGCAAAAAGTGGAAAAGTAAGAAGGTGCAGAGCATTCAAATCAGATGGCATGGATAGTCGAACAAGGAAATGTTAATTAAGCACTTCGCTATTTCAGACTTTGTACATTTTGATTTGACGGTCATCTGATATAGATACCCGTTTTGCTGTGTCGTCTACGTTTCATTGAGTGGACAAGTCTCGTCGTAGCTTACCAAAAAACTCCGTGTTCCGAGTTTCTACGAACGGCTCGTCCGAGTTCGAGTTCAATTCCATGGTCGCCTCGCACCTTGAAAATTTATAGAGATGCGTTAATCAGACGATGACGATATTATTATAGCGACGGTGGTCGGGTGAGAGATCGTTCTGGCTACGAAATTACCTGACGTTTATTTTGTCGCCGGCGATGTGATCCGGCTCCAGCTGAAGTCGTAAACTGGATATCACCGAGTAGAGTCCGTGTTCCTCGAACACCATTTCCGTGTCGGGCTTCACCTGGAACGAAACAACGGGAAACGGAACGCGTGAGCACCGCGAGAGTGCGAGCAGCAATCGCGACCGGAGTTCGTGAGACAGTTCCGAAATTATTGCGCGTTCAACTGTAAAACCAATCAGTGACGTTCAACACGTGTATGATTGGTTTCATAGAAATTCGACGATACGGGAAGGTGTATTCCTTGTGTAGAAACGGCAGTTCGTCGGAAAATACGAATCAGCGGGTGTCGTTTTTGTCCGATTATACGGTCCCGTTAATATTCGTATAGGAGGTAGCTGTACTCCGCTTTATAGTTACGACGATGCCGTATAATATCAGGAAAAGGAACGGGAACGGCGAAACGATACGATTCGCGCGATTTAACGCGATGGCTCGCGGCGAGGTAATGGGTGGCAAGTTGGCGCGGCGCTACGCGACGTTTCCGAGATTTCCTCGGAGAGAGTGAACGGGAACGAGAATTCGCTGCCGCGGGCCACGCGGGCAAAGAGCCTCGTCTTCCGTTTTCCCGTCGCGCTCTCGCGAAATGGAAGCTCCGGGTTTGCCGAGGAAAATTTGCTCGTTCATCGTTCGCGCGCGATTCCTCGGAATCCTCGCGGAAGACAATGCGCGTGAACCAGACGTCTGGAATCTTCTTCCGGGAGCAGGGTGAGAGATAAACGAGCCTCGAAATTAAATCATTTTTAAGCTGGACGATTCCTTTGATCCATCTCTTTGCTCCCTCGCCCCCCTCTGCGGACGGTCGACCCTTTAACGCGGTTCGCCGTGCAATAACGCTGCACATGAACGGACTCGGTATCAATTGGATTCGTGTTATTACGTGCATTTTGTTTATACGAAGAACAGAGATGATAGAAAGAAAATAAAACACGGTTGGACAGGAAATACGCTTTGTCTCTTTGCTCGTCCGTGGTTTTCAACTCCAGGATATTGATTTTCGGTAAACATCGATTCGACTACAGACATAGAGCGCGCGAGGGGCTTCGTAATTGAAAGAGAATCGAAGATTAAGTGCAGCCTGGGGGCGAGTCACCGGAGGAAACGTCGGAGCCTGTCGAATCTTTTTAGGAACGTTTCCGAGAACGGTACTGCCGCGCGCATTAAGTAGCGCGTTAGAAACTCGCTCAACTCCTTAATGGACATCGCCGAGGCAAGTTTTCGCCCGGGAGAGGGAAACTTTTCGCGCCGTCGAGCTCGATTCGCCGTGAAGCCCCGAAAGAGTCGCGACGGCTCGCTCATCGGAGTAATCTTTAAAGCGTGTAAAGCTCGCGCGTGTCCGCGCGTCTCCCGCCTCAAACGCCTCCACTTTGCGGATTATACGGGGTCGTTCAGAAATTAATGTCGCTCTCAGCCGTGTAAAAATAACGTTATCGCTTTACCTCGTTAATTCCATCCAATTACTCTGTAAGTCTTCGTGTAGCGAGAAGATCCGAGTATAAACTAATAAACTTCTGATATCATTCTTCCGATAATCCAATATGTAAATCTCAACCGAATCCGACCGGTGTAACTCGATTCATTTTCGCGTAAGTACGTGCGGCGAGGATTAATTAGCAGTTAACAGAGTTTCGTTGTTCCCACCGTCTATTCCCGACTTGTTTCACTCGCGACGCGAATCCACCCGGTATATCTCGATTCTTTCTTCCGGGAGTCAAGGAAAAGTCGAGTCGAGTTTCGACGCGAAGGGGAAGAGAAACTAGGCGATGGTGTGGTCGCATGTTTATGCAGACTGCGCGTTGTGCGCCACGGCTTCCAGTGGCGCTCGTTAATTGAACCTTTGGCTCATCAAGCATCGTTGCCGTCGACGATATCGTTGGCCCTGCTTAAGCTTCACCCGTCTCGCTTACCTTTAACGACCCCGTGTTCCCTTACCTCTACGTTGCTCTCAAAATTTCATAACTCCAGAATCATAACTAAGAGGCCAATAAGAATTTCATGAAGAAATATCGTGGATTGAAACGTGTCAACGAAAGTGCTGATCATAGTAGAATAATTGGTTTCGTATTAAATCGAGAGATTTCATTTGTCAGACGATTTCCTGGAGACGAGCAAACACGTTTATATATCACTCACCTGTTCCCCATTGATGAACCACTTGAGAGTCGCGCGCGGATGGGACTTGCCGCTTGTGCAATTCAGCCCGAGGACGTCGCCCGTGGCGTAAACCTTCTCTTCCCCGGTTATCCTCGGCCCGCCTTGTGGTAGAACTGCAATTACACAATTCCGCTTTTCCATCGTAACTTCGTGTACCAACGAGTACAGGCTTTATTTGTTCACTTTTAATCTCTGTCAGCGTCGGTTTCGATATTATTTCTGAGTATCGTATATAATTATATGTAAGAGGACGAGAACGGAAGGCGGGGCGGCGTTGTAATCCGCGTCGCGTATCTCACGCGCGAAAGGTTGATCGCGTAGCACAGCAGGGAAAGATCAATCCGGCCCGTAGCAGTCGCGAATGGCTTCGTTGAATATTCTAAGCGGGGGTTGTCGCGACAGCTTCTCCGGAGGCTTATCGGCCGGGGGATGAACTTTTATCGCGATCGTGCGCGCTCACGAAAACGATCCGCGTCGTTTCACCCTTCCTTGAGTCCCGCGGCCCGTCGAGATTAAATCCCGGGTCGTGAACGCGGAAAATCTCGCGCAAAGATGCTCCGCCGATAGATAGAACGACCGGATCTCGTCGTTCGATCGATTCCCTCCCGCGAGCTTCTGCGAATCTCGCAACCTCTGTGCATTGGTCAACGGAGATTTAACGAGGGAACCCTTTGCCGTTCCTTCACTCGAACCGTCGTAAAAGAAGTCTTTGGTAAAGAGAAACTCGTTTGTTTGCGTAAAATATTGGTACTCGTCTCGACGAAATAATGAACTCGAAGGAACGACCGAAGTCTCAACGGTTTAAATGCAGTTTTTGCGATCCAGTGAGAAATTATTTGATTATTCCGGAGGAGACATTGTACGGAATGATCGTTGCTGACTCGGATAACCCGTTTACGAGCGGTAAACCGTTTGCGGATTGACGTTAAGTAGTGTACCTTCGTTGGCCGTGTATTGCGCGCGAGCTCGGAGGCGATCCTTCGAAACCAGTAGCGAGAACGAGCAGCAGGCAAATTGAAATTTACGAGGAACGCGCAACTTCTCCGCTTAAGGGACCCTAGACACGCGGGGCGAACGTTTTCCCGAAGAGGACTCGAGAAACCGTGGCACGCGGTTTCCTCTCTTGTTATCCCTCTCTCCCGTTTTCACGAATTAAATGGGACGATGGGTTCGCGATAAATGAAAAACCAGAAACCTATATTAGCGAGTCATTCAAGTCCCCAAAGATCAGAGGCAGACTGAAACGATAAATGCCTTTTGCATTTAAAAAGCATCTGAGCAACGTCGAAGCTGTAATAACGAGTGGACGTAATCTTCATATTCGTTGGAGGTGGATCTGGGCAAGTTCATTGATCGACCGGACCATTGGGAGAGGAGAAAAAGAAAAGGGAATTCCACCGAAAGATGCGAGAGGCTGGAGACACGCGCGTCGAAGCTTTTACGGTCGAGAAGCCTTTCCTTTTCGTTTCACCTCCTCCCCAACGGTTCACCGCTCGCGTCTCGTTATGTCTCGGAACTTACGATGCCGTAATATTTATCGGACTTTACGCGATACTAAAGTTTGAACAGCCTCTCGGAACGCGGAACGAGAGAATTGAACTTTCCTCTTGCCGTAGGTCTGGCGAAGGGCGTCGAACGACGTTGTATTACCGCCTGACTATTTCACCAAATTCATTTGATATTAACGAACGTCGACGTGGATGAATATCGGAACGTCTTAAACGGTCGCAGTAAAAACGTTTGCAGATATCGTTGTCTTAATGCCGTCGGAACACCGGTTTCGTGCCATTCACGTATCGCAGTGATAAGTGGACGACGACCCTTGGAGCGAAGCCTCACGAGGCGGCGCGCACGACCAGTTTGTTCCCGTTTTCGTTTCGAGACTCTCGGGTACGACCTTCGCGTGCGGAAACACTAATCTAGTTTTCGGCTCGATCGATTCTCCTTTGATCCGAGTCGAGTCGACACTCGTTAACAGGAACGGGTGTGGGGCCAGGATCACCCTTTCCCTCTCTCGAAAATAGTAATTCCGTTTGCCCCGGCAATCCCGGGAAATATTTGGCCCGACGATCCTTCTCCTTCTCCCGAAACTCTCTCGTAACCATGAAAGCTTTGCCCAAATTATGGCGGTTCGATAGCCGCGATCAAAGGATTATTAATTAGCAGCAACCAGGAGTAGGAATATATATACGAGGTACGGGAATCATGGGGTTTTCGCTCACCGAGAACTTCCATGTTGGCCTCGGCGCTGACCGAGTTGAAGCTGGGCGCCTCGGCGCTTACCTCGCACTTGTACTGCCCGCTACTGTGCAGGCTGACGTCCTGCAGCAAGACCTGTTGGTGATCCGACCGGCGGCGCTGAAACAGAATCGACACCTCCCCTAAATCCTCGATTACGATCGTCCGTTAAACGACGATGAGAAAGACGAGGTGTCGACGCGGGGAACGTCTACCGATTTTTCTTGTCTCGTTTCCCTCGACGCGCTTCAAATTATTCTTCATAGACAGAATATTACGCCTCTAGATGGGTAAGAGGCTTACGTGCTTAGATCGATTTATTGCCATAGTTGCTGGCTCCCGCGAACCGAAAGTTATTTCGCTGAGATGGATGGGGCGGCGGGCCAAGTAGAATAGCTGCGTCACTGATCCGACGCGGCGTCGCCTCGGTCCGACCGCACTGTTTGTTCAACCACGCGAGTTTGGCGAAAAGACTACGCATCGAAAATCCTTGACGATGTGGACAGAACGGGCAGATTCGCGTGTCCGATGCGGCGTTGCGAACATTACCAGCAAAATAGATCAGAAATATCACGTTTCGCCTATTTTCGTATGAACCAACTAATCATTTTATTAAGAGCGACGTTACGAATTTAATAATTAATTCAGTGTAGATCTTAAATAGTCTGAATCCTGACTGGTTTATATCGTGATATTTTAAGGGAGGTTTATTTAACTTCGCGTCGATGATTTTGGCTTGGAAGAAAGCAAGGAGAGCGGTATCGATAGACACACGATTGCTACTTTATACCGCGGCGAGTGGAACGAGGAAAAAGAGCACGGAACGAGAAGACCCGCAATAGATGGAATCGCGACGCTGATAATCCATTTATCCCGGTGCGCGCGGGTCTTTTCGCTTTCGCGTGTTCGCTCGTTCTTTCCTCTCCTCTCCTCCCGTTTCCACGCTCGTTACGCTACTCCGTCCAATTTCAATTCGCCTGAATTTCCACTCGCGTCCGCGGAGCTCGTCGTTTTTTCAACACGTCGTGCTAGTTTCGATTGAGAGACACAAATACGCGTTGGTAATAATTCTGAATAGCGATAACAGCTCGTAGGGGCTACTGTCTGGCATTTTCGAAAACCGTGAAACGAGAAATAATGATGGGCCTTCTTCACCCGTTTTTTTTTTCTCTCAAGTAGAAACGTCGACGTTTATTCAGTCGCGAAGTTTCCGCTTATCGACAAATCGATTTAGCCCACGGGCGAGAAAAGTTGCGGGAAAACAAGTGAGAGGAATGTCGAAATGCTCCGCGGGAATCGCATTACCTTGTCCGGCGGACGCGACCGTTCGATTCAGGTCGACGAAAGGAGGAAGGAAGGAACGCGTGGCTGCCTGCGCGCCATGGGAGACGGTAAAACGTGACTCCCTGTTGTTTCGCGCGAAGCTACAATCGCGTCGCTACTAAAATCAATCGATATAACGTGTAGAGCGTAGACGATACTTCAATGACCGATTCAACGACTAAAAAACGATGGAATGAATTCACGTGTAGTTGCTCGGACAAACTCGTTCAACTAGTTTTGCATATTCAATAAATTTAGTTATTCATACAAACTTTCCGTCAGTTTCGAAAGTAGGGAATTGAAAAAAAAGAGTTCGGTGGGAGCGTTCGACGCCAGAGTTCGGTTCTCTCGTCGCTCGAGAAGTTTGCTCCTCGAAGACGATTGTGAAGTCACCGCCCTTGGCAAACAGACGTATTAACAACCGGCGGATTAGTCGTGAGGGGAGTATCGTCGGGACCGATAAAGCGGTTAATTACCTTTGTCTCGATCGTCAATTAGCTCGCTGAGGGAACTCGGATGCGGCAGCGGAGTCGAATAAACGTCGAGGAAAGTACGGTTTAAAATTTTCAGATAGCGAAATTAAGAGGCGTTACGTAACGCAACGGGGCAAAGGGGCGAACGAGAGGGAAAATTAAAAGTCGAGGGAGCCGGGGAAGTAGAAATATACGAGAGTCCGCCCGCTAAATCCACTTAATTCCTGCTACTCCAATAAGTGTCACGAGCGAGCGTATCCGAGCGGAGGAATGGCCGTGGGACGACGACGGTGCGGGAGCGAAAAGACACGCTCGCTTTTGTCCACGAGAAATTTCTTTGTCGATATCGGAGAGCCATTGGACCGAGCCAGATTAATAGCCGTGCTCTCTCTCCGTCCGCGTCCCACCGCCCCACCGTTCTCTCTTTCAGCCCGATCTCGAGAAACGGGCCGGAGTAAAGGGATGAGCCGATTCGACTCACGTAATGCTCGTTACGCGTTCGAGGCCGATATTAACGAGCGTCGAGGAAAACGGAACTTTCGTGCCTTCCAAAACGTGAATCGGAAGCGGACGTATCGTACCGAGAATAGACGATCCCCGCGATCCGCTGCGCGTTCCTCGAGACCGCATGATCCCAAAAATCGATCCCTCTATCACGAAAGCCGTGGAAAAATAATATAGATCCCAATTGCGAATCGGACATTGAATTTTTCACGATTCTGTAATATTCAACGATCAATGACTTCTTTGCACCGTCTGACTTCCCACGTTCTTTGCGATACATTTTAGGAACCGAAGGCGGTTTAGGGTTTTCAACTTTACGTCCTCGCCTCGTCCCGACTGGAACTCGGCAGACGTCCCGATTCGTCAAACATTTATTCGCGACGATAAAGGCGGACCGCTTCCCGCCCACGCGAGAGGACAAACGCGCATACATCGGAACGGTATCGCGAACTTTATATATGCTCTCCTTGCTCCTATCTTCCTTTCGATTCTCCTCGGCTCGATGAAATACTTTTATAGCGACGTCGAATAAAACTCGAAGGAGAAAATTGAATAGTGGGCTCTCGGTTCAAAGCCGCGGGCGATTCCGGTCCTTAAGCGTCGGAGTCTAATACGGATCTGGCGACAGCTGGGCACGGTTCTTGAGCGGCTCGTAATCGTAAAAATGATGTACGCGCGGTTAATTGAAAGTTAATATTATTATTATTATTGGACGACGTTCCCGGCTTGTAACTGGAAACGACGTGCCGGCAGTGGTATAACTTTACGTTTGGCGCGACGAGGCGGCGCTTCAATATTCGACTACTCTACTAGTTTATCGTCACGAGCCGGGGAAACGGTCGGCTTCACGTCTTTTCTTCTCTCTCGCGAGGCTCGCAAAAACGCGAATATTCCCGCCGCGGTGTTCACCCGCTCGTTCGACTAAACGGTCACCCCTTTATGATCGCTCAGCCAATTTCTTGCGCGTTAACGATCGTACATGACTCTGTGAACTGCGCGAGGTGTGCCTACCGTACGTTCCACGTGCTATGAATGAGAAAAAAATATTGCCGCGATGACTGTAACTTACTCTCTCTCTCTCTCTCTCTCTCTCTCTCTCTCTCTCTCTTTCTCTCTCGTTACGATTTACAATTTTGCTGGGTCGAAAAGCGCGTGCGTTTACCTTAGGAACCGATCTCTGCCGATGTGCATATTCGTGAAAGGGTAATTGCGCGCGTTTCAGCGCATCTCGTAATGCACAAAAGAAGTCTATACACCGTTGGATATTGAAGTTGGATGCCGAGATAAAAAGAACCGGGGTAACTGCGCGCGCGCTCTTTCCCTCTGTACTTTTTTACCAAACAGCGTCTCGTAAATGGAATTCCTGCCAATGCCGCTCTACTCGCTTTGTTAGTTCCCCGAATACGCGGCGGTTTCGTTTTTTTTTTCCTTCTTTTTCAAACCGATTCTCGAAATCGTAAGGCAACGGTCGATGCACCGTCTTCGCATCTTACTTCTAAATTCCACTTTTACCGACACATTGATTTTGATTATCAAAAGCCGTTTACGGCAAAACGAGAATCTTATCTGTTACGCGATGTCCTACCGGTTCCAACGACTGTTGGCAGATAAAAAGCACGTTAAACCGGAATCGCATACGCCGAGCAAGAAGGCGGAAGCAGATCAGATAGCGGAGCCGTGGGGGGTGAGGAAGAGGGGACTTTCGACTCACGTCAACTTTAACGCCCTCGACGCGATAGGTGTGCTTGGTGAGTTCCGATTTGGGCACATATCTGTAGAATTCCTCGTGGTCCTTGTACCATGAGATGGAGTAGAGCTTGTCCTTCTCCAGGTCGTACCTGAAACAAGGGGCATCGACTCTTATCGTCCGATCGAAAACGCATCTATCATTTAAACGTATAACGAACCGAACGCGCACCGACAAATTTTGTTTCCTTCGCCAAGAAAGAATATAAGCAATTTGTGGTTCTCCTTTGAAGATGAAAATTTATTTAGATACACTGCGAATTGTTTGCTTTGTCGACAGATTTATGATATCGTCGTTTCACCGGCGAGTCGACGGTGTCGTTGCAGGGTTAGTATCGATTGCGAGCGGAGAGGAAGGAGATGAAACGATGCGGCACGGACCGCGGAATCGTTTCTCGATTAGTCTCGGGCTCCGGATCGCGCGAGTAATGGAAACTGTTCCCGACAATGTATACCTCGACTATCGGGAGACGTATTCTTCCCTTTACATATCGGAGATTTTTCTCGTTTACCCGATATTCCCGCGGAATCTCATCAGCCCACCTCCCACTCTTTCTCTCTCTCTCTCTCTGTCTGACTGTCTCTCTCTTTCTATCGTTCTCTCCCTGACTTGCCTCGCTTCGTTTCGAAAAATGCCGCCCCGATCCGAAATACCGAATCGAACGATTCGACGTTTGTTAATCCAACGTCGTCTACGGATAAACGATCGAGCTTGTCGATGGGCGGGGGTAAAAAACGATCCGAGTCTCTCGCGCAGGATAAACGGGTGGGAAGCGACCGTTGCACAGAGTTTGTAGGTATGCGCTTTAACGTGATTGCTATGATGCCCGGCCGGCACGAAGGAAGGAACGCGATAGGCCACTGTCGCGTGACAACTTGCCAACCTACCTAGCTACCTACCCGACAAGGGGGAACAACAATTACCGTAATTGATCAACATCCGCGATCGAAGCGAAATGCGCCGCATCAATTTGCTAATCGAGTCCTTTCCTCCGTTCGGTCCTCGATTCCCTTGACTGGGAACAGCGAAAAATCCCTGGAGGATCACCAGGGGGTAAAGATTATTTGAATCGAACGAAAATTGCAGTCTTCAATCCCTTCTATCCTGAATTATGAAATTCTTATGCTCGTTCATTCACTGTCCTCAATCAAAACAACATTCTCGATTGGTAATTGGTACTAAGTGGATGGGGGTAAATTTTTAAGCTACTGTCATGTTAACCTGGTTCACGAGATTAAGGCTGATTAATATAGAATTTGAGCTTGAATTTGGACGATTATTAAGACACTTGACTCAGTTTCCTTCGGTGTAAGGAAACACTGACGGTCTGCCTAATCGGCGATTAGCGACGCGATCCGGCAAAGCGTAGCGCAGCGATCGTATCGACGATAAAATCGCGAAGCGCAACAGGCTACTCGCCGCCCGTGCGAGATAGCGAAGCCTGGATTTCGTGGTTCGGGTAATCCGCGTGATAATTAATATTCGGCAAAGTAATTAAACTAACGCGTTTACGTTGCGAGTGGCGACGGAGTCATCCCGCGACGCGTCGCGATGCAACGCTTCGCATACCTTTTTGGGATGTCCTGTCTCTCTCGTCCCTTCCTGGCAACAGTTTCGACCAAAATGACCACGGTTAATACGCCCGGGCGAAACTTGTCTCGCTGGGAAAACTCGAGTCCGGGATAATTCGAGGGATTTTCGAACGCGAATTTGATTACACCGGTTCTCCTCGTTTAACCACAGCGATCGTCTCGATGACAAAGCCGTCGATCCGCTGGCGATTCAATTTTATATTTCTTACAAGTGGCCAATGAAAGAATTCAGTAAAACATTCCTGAAGTTAATTACAGATTTGACGGGGGGAATAAACCGTCACGCGGTGTCTCACGTGTCGAAAGATTTATCTCCAATTAAGCACTGTACATAATTATAACTGTGTGTCTTTTATACGTACAATGCTCGTATGAGATATTACCCTTGATTTTAAACTTGATGATACGTGTGCTTCGGTTTATGGTTACGAGGATTAAGAGTACGATAAAGTGGGATGCACGACGTATCGTGCAGTCTGTTAGTCGAGCAACGAGAATACCCGCGGCATGGCAGTTGGATCGTTGCACCGTTGCAGGAGCGACACGGTCGCATCGTCGCATCCACGTTACCCAAGGGGGGTCATGGTTGCGCTCACTCCCTCTCTCTTTCCCTCTCTCTTGCTGTCGCCGTCGTCGCCGACGAAGCTCCCTAGTTCCCAGCTGCAGCTACCGGAAAAGGGATTGCCGCATTCGAGCGTAGGTGCACAATTTGGAGGGTTGCGTCGTGGGATTGATTTGCATCCTCCGGCTCATTTGCCGGGTCGTGTCCTGCGGGAACTCGCTCCATCTCTTCCGTTCTCTCTTCGCTTTCTTTCCCCTTTGTAGCGGCTTTCCCGAAGCTCTCCCTACCCCCCGTACAGAGCCCTCCAATTTTCTCTACCGTCGCGCCTGCTTCTTTATTTTTCCTTCTGACGTAAAGACTCAAGGCGAAAATTTTCTGCCTCGATTCGTGCAGTGGGCATTATATTTGTCGTGCACGACCGGAGAGAATTAATTATCGTAGACGTCAAGATTAGTCTCGCAATTAATTATTATCGCCATTGTTTTTCACTTGATGTTGGCATCCTTTGCACTTGGATCTGTTTGTCACGGCACCGGTATTACGGTATCCACGGTTGAAAGAACTCGGTTCTTTGACGAAATGAGAAAGGGGTACACAACAGCATGGCTCCATCGTCAATTAACGAGTAGGTCCGGCACGACGCAAGAGGTGTCTCGTCTTTATTGAACGCGCCGCGCACTAATTCTGCGTTTCGTTCGCATTCGCGTAAAGGCACTCTTTGATGTAGGAGAATCCGGCCGACCGGATCCCGGATCCGAGTGCCGACAAAGATCGAGGAGAGCGTTTTGTGCTCTCGAGATAACCGACGGATGGAGGGTTAATAAGGGAAGCTCGTGGCAGAATTTGTAACGAAGAAAGCGTCGACTGGGAAAAGTTACGAGAAGGAGACGAAGGAGGAACAGGGGAATGAGGTTGCAGCAGTACATCGGAAACAAATGCCTTTGAAGCTCGTTCTTCGGACTTCGCCTTTCGACTGGAAGGAGATCCTGTTCAACGGTTAGTCGTGCTCGGAAGAATTCGGCTCGCGCGAATTTCCCAGACATTTTCATGGCGAATTCAGAGGAAAGGAAGGAGATCCGCGGCCAGATTCACGGGGCCGAAGTTCGGTCGCGCGCGCATCGAGAGTCAAGAGCTTCAGAGGATGAAATAGGACAGAACGAGGCGAGGCGACACGCCGGATAAACCAACAAGCGAGCGTTCGCCGGGGACGGTAAACTAATTTGCAATTTATACCTACGCCGGGGAACGATCCCATCCTCTCTCTCTCTCTGTCTTTCTCTCTGTCACTCTCTTTCGACCCCGTCGTGCCCGGCTGGCACCTAATATCAAAGAACACCAGCCCATCTTTCTTATCTTCCCGGAAGAGAAAAAACAGAGATCATCAACATTTAGCTTTATTTGGAATTTCCAATGAAAGTCTGTTATGACAAAGTAATATGAACGTGGCTTTTCATTTGAATACTTCAAATAATTTTCCTTTTCCGTTGGAGTGTAAGGAGTCTCGCTCGATATAACCTACTGACTCGAATAACTCTGCTCTAATAGAAGATCTCGGTTAAACAAACGACGGTACGGGACCCCTGCTTCTCAACCCTTTCCGCCTCTTCCTACGGGAGGAGGATCGTCTCGATCGAATACGACGGACGACTCTCTGAATGGACGTGAGATTCGCCGGGTTCCGTTTGAATAAATCACGCCGACTCGGAGTTTACGAGAGCGGGTAGGTAGGTAGGTAGAGATGCAAAGTTCTCGTTCGAAGCGAGGAACGTCAACTCGGCCTCGAACCTCGTTAATTACTAAACTCGTCTCCGCTTCTCGTCCCTGTCACGTCGCTTGACATCCTTTTCTGATTCTCCTTTTTCTTCCATTTCGGTGCGGCGATCCGCCCCGGCTCGGATCGAAACGATCAGACGTTCGAAAATCGAGACGTGAGACACGTGTCTACTAAGACGAAATTAAGTGCGCAAATAGTTAGTGTGCAACGTTAGATTCGCGAAAAGAATGCTCTTCAGTTACGGCACGTGCCGTAACGAGCGAACGAGCGAAGGGAACAAACGATCGAAGGGTGCAAAGGCGACGAGCCGCTGCAGCCTGCCCCTTTTTACGTGTGATTCCTTCGAGGTATCGCTGAGACGCACACACGCCGAGGAGGAAAGGCGTGCACTCCAATTTGCCGACGCTTCGTGCACTTTTCAGCATCTCGTTTACGACGTTACGTGGAAAGCATACTGCACACTCCCGTCGCGTCGCGCTTTGACGTACGATACCGGGGCGAAATGGAAGGAAGGATTCTCTGTTACTACGCTCGTTGTTGCGTCGCCTCGCGTCCGGAGAAAGAGTACGCGCGGCTCAATCGACGGGCAAACTTTCCACCGGGCGATATTCTTCGGGTCCCGGGGGACGCGAATCGATCGACGACCAAGGATAACGAAAACTTTCAGAGAAGATATCGGCAATGAGGATAATACCTTATGAAATCTTATGAGACTTCCCACGACCCAACTCTTATTCACTCCTCGTTTTCGCGCGATCCTATTGCAACAAAATGAACCGTACCTATAATTGAGACAGCAACATTCTTCAAATGAACGCGCGACAGTAAAAGATGTTTGTCGAAGAAGGAAACTGAAAACGATTCGAGAGACGGGCAGAGTCATGACTTCGTGTTCCTCGAATTAATCTGAGGATTTCACGAGAAGGGATCAGAAGGTTGATTCAATCGATCGGATTCGGTCCAATTTGCGATGTACGATCAGTGAGATCTGCCGCGGAGGGTCGACGACACGTCCCGAACAGAATGATTTTTAAGTAAAAATCTCGCGGCCGATTCCCGCGACCCCTTTTCTTTTTTTCCTTACCGTTTTTCGCGCCGAGCACTCTTTAGACGAGTCGCGATACCCAACGGCCGACCTTATTTTGCTTCGTGAAAAGTCGTTGAGCCCCGTGCCGCCACTAATTAGAATGCATATTCCGCGACCAGCCGTAATTGTAGGACGCGCAATGCTACGCCATAATTTCATTACGTCTTAATTAACATGGTGGTACGAGCACGCGCACGTGGCCGTCGGTTTAAGGATTCGCGGAACACCGTCGAGGATGCGGAAAGGGTTAAAGCCTGAGGCACCCGGCTTTTGATCCTTTCCGATACGTACCGCGCTTTATTTATACAAAGCGTTGTGCTTCGCATGAAACGCGATTCGGTTTATCGAATATTTCCACTGATTTCATTTATCCCGTCGAAATTCCACGTTTGTCCGCTCGGTTAAAAGTTGTTAACGGGGTTATTGCGTTAAAATGCGAGCGTGCGAAGATAATGGAATAACACGTGTTTGGTTACTCGCTCCGAGTAACGTATTTAAAGCAGCTAAAACTTTGTACGATTATTACACGAAGGTTTTCCTTGTCCTCGTGCTGCGCGATAATAAGCTCGCCAAGAAAATGGAGAGGAGCTACCGCGGAACGACTTCGGTTTTATGCCGCCACGACGCAACGTTACATTCCTGAGATATCATCGTTTCGAAATGGTAACGTTCAAACGCTTTAACATCGACTGCTCGTGTCATCGAATTTTTCCTGTTACGTAACCGAGCTGTTCCGCATCTGTTATGCGGAACGGTCAGCCGGGATGGTGAGTCGATCGCGTTGTTTTTACTATTACGATCACGCGCATCCGTTTCGTGGAAACCTTTTCCAAAGGAATTCCACGCGAAGCGCCATTCGGCATTTTATATCTAAAGAACCAATTGAGATCTCGCGACGAGGAAACGTAACGTATCGACCCTTTTCGCCTTCGTCTTCCAATAGACATTGTGCATATTTGGAAAGATCAAAGACTGAAACGGGCGATAACGGCTGGCCGGAATTCAGAATCCGATCTACACCCTGGTGCCACTGGCCAGTTCCCATGAATCGTGGTTAATCGAGATTCGTTAACAGAGATTCGGTGAAACCCGTCGTCGTTTCCTACCGGAAGAAACTTTGATTCCGCACTAACTGGACTCGTGCAATTACCGGCCGGACGGCGACGCGACCCAGCGAGCGGGGACGGGGCTCGCTCGCAGAAATACCAATGATGGATGGTAATTCAGGAGGCAGGCGTATTCTAATTAGCTAGGGAACGAACCATAGAAGTTCGGTACGTTCTTCAATTTCCGTTTAAAATATTTACGAAATCCGTGAGACGGTAACGGGAAACACGCGGTGAGATCCGCGAACGATGTTCGAAAGAGATCTCGCGGGAGTTGGGAAAAAGATCATGGGCCGCGCGCGGCTCGATGCCTTTCGGAGGCAAGCATCTTTTTCAGGCGAGAAACCGAACGGAGGTAGAGGAAGAGGAAGAAGCTTTCCCGCTCGGATTGCGGTCTACGATATTGCGGAGTATAAATAAATAAAGCGCGAGGAGAGCGGAAAGATATCGAGATTCCTAGCTCCAAGGGATTGCCGCCGATCCATCCTCTTCTCCCTCGTCTTATTTTTAATCTTATTTACTGTCCGGCTCGGACGCTAAGCGTAAACTCGATACGTTATTGGCTGGCATCTTATCGATGTCTTTACGAGTTCTTCTCGCCCAGTTTCCTCTACCGTAAATAACCGAGAAAAATCGTACACGACCCGTCCTCGCGCTACCGCTGCTTCCTATTTTCCGACGCATGCTTACATACACCACTTTTCAAGTTTCCGGATGCATCGTGAAAACAGTCAGAGAATACTCTAATTGAAAGATCGTACAATGACTTAATTCGTGTGACAGACGATCCACCATAAATCATGAACAATTTGAATACGATTGTATTTGTAATACATTTTTACGATGTGTCCTAAGATTCATGAATAGGGGTGCACGCATATGGATCTTCTCCTCGGGCACGAACCGATTTATCTCGCGTCCGTCAACGTCGAACCGACGATTGAAAGTTGATGAATAGCAACACGACCGTTAGACAATGATTTCGGTCAGATTCCGGTTACGATTTTGGTTGATCGATCGGCGCGGAGATCGATCGTGAACATAAGACAGGCTCAGAGGGAATCGTCTCCCTTTGACGACGCGACCAACGCTCGACGTTGCACCAAGAGCACTCTTACCTGCACTCGAGTAGCGCGTTCTTGCCCCTGACGGAGTACGCCGGGACGGTTATGCGAAGCAACTTGAGACCAGCCACTGCAACAGAGAGAGAGAAAACAAATTTCTTTTAGATACGAGAACCAGTGTGACGAAGTTAAGGATGTATTGGCTATACAGTCAATCCCAAAAGTTTATGCACTTTAGAAACGCATTTTTTAAAAAGAAATCAGACGTCGGAAGAACATTGCNGTACTTAACTGGATATTTCCTTCTATACTTTTTAGCACTTAGCTATTTATTATTAGCATTATTCTTCCGACGTCTGATTTCTTTTTAATTATAGGAAATGCGTTTTTCTAAGGTACATAAACTTTTGGGATTGACTATGTAGCCAATACATCCTTAAGCGAAATATTGTCCAATAAGTAAGATATCATTATATCAGAATATGAAACGATGATTAAACGCATTTTGATATTCGTCAGCGAATGGACACACACTATTTGTATTTAATCGGCACAATTTTTCTATCTACGCCGGTCTTACGTTTTTTCCGGGCTCTGATCCTTGACCCACTTGGAACAATATGGGCATTAAGAAAACGGTACTCATCGGAAGGATACCGAAATCGTCGACCTTCGCGTGGTCGATTCGAACCAGACTCCACCGTAGCGAAGAAAAGCTTGGAAAGTTTGCAGCTCGATCGAATGAGAGGGTGGAGGGCACGAAGGGCGTCCGCGAGTGGATGTACTAGATGCTCAAACAATGCTCGGCAAACTCCATTGTGTCGTCCTTTGTGCCCGCTCTCCTTTTCTTCCCTTCTTCGGTCCTAAACCCCTGTGTAGGTCAACGCCGCGACGTAGAAAAGCAGTCGCGATTTTTTTCATTCAATTCCGGACCAGGCTCGCGTCAACCCTGATACGTTCTCCGATATCCATTTAAAAGTAAATCCACGTTTCCCAAATTAAAAATGCTTGAGTCCAGAAGTGATGTCGTAACGCTAGTGATTGGTCAGCGGCAAGATCACTGGAGAAGGAGAGGCAGGCCTACGGGGGCAGGTGGGCAGGCAGGCGGCCAGCCAGCCAGCCAGCCAGCTAGCCAGCCAGCCAGCCAGGTTCAAAGGGGTTTTGCGTTTAATTAAGCTCGCGCGATATTTTACGACGGTGACGGTGCGCGTGGCTATTCCACCGAGGGTCGGCCTTTCTCTGGATCGTAAAATATACCGACCGTAATGCACCGTTACGCGGGCACCGTGTAGAGACCGGCAGGTGAGTTCGGTTTGAATTATTCCCTCGGAGAGTCGCAATTTTTCGTACGTCCTAACGTGATTTTCGAGGCGAGCCCCACACGGGAGGGACGGCGGCGGCAGCGCGAAATCTCTCTCTGGTATCACGTTTTTTTCCCCTCCTCGCGAAGCGTAATTTCTGCGCCGTGACTTTCGGGCACCGCGACGGACATTTCGCGTACGTGGCCGGCTTGTAAGTTACCGCTACGGAAAGAAGAAACGTCGCGGTGCGCGGTTAATCTCTTCCACGGGCGCGTCGCTTAATCCGGGGCTCGCGATCCAAGATACATTGTCCTCCTAATTACGCGGGGCCACGATCTTAATGGACTTGGAAATGCCGGGCGCGTCAGTTCCGTGCGCAAATTACGCAAACGTGGCGGGACTCTTTGAAAAGAACGCATCCCCGAACAACGAGAATCGCGTTGTTTTAAATGCGAGCCGCGAGTTATCACCCCGGCACCGCGCGTTGTTTTTCATTGCTCGAATTCCTCCGCTCGTTCTAATTCATCGGAGTGGGTTGGGTCGACGGCTCGTGGAAATTATTCTGAGTGAATCGCGAGAACAAGCCCCGGGCTCTGCGAGAATCGATAATTCTGCGAATCGACTGCGAACCAACGATTTGACGTCTCGTTTTGGCTTTGCGGCGACCGAAGGTTCCCGGAACCTGGCCACGACAATAACGTCGCTTACGGTGTACGTAGCGCTATCGTCCATTGAATTAGAGTGCCCGCGGCGTTTCGAGACAAACCAGAAGGAGAGCGAGCGAGACCCAGGCTGGTGGACTACACGGAGCTTTTGGCCGAACGATCGTGACGCGGGTCACAAGTGCCGCCCTATCGGCCACCACGATTCGCTTTCTCCTCGCTCAGAAATTAATTGCACGCCGGTTCGACTTTGAATAGCCACTCCAAGTCGGTACCCTCCGCCAAACTCGTCTACATGAACGCGGGTTCTACGCGTTGTCCATCCCCCACCATCCTTCGCCTAACTACGAATTAACGCGACGAATTTCTCGAGTCGTCCGAAATACCGATCGTCACAGTCGCGTTTTGGAATTTAATTCGATCGTGACACGTTCCGTCGTCGAGTTCTGACGTCTCGATGACCGATAACAACGATCGAATACTTGAAACACGGTACAAGTCTACGGAGACCTTCAACGATTTCCTGGGAAGCCGACACGGAGAGCGTCCAAAGGAACTATCTTTGACGTGTCTTCAGTCTTCGACGCGAGGTTTCCCGAACGTCGACGGAAAAGAAGAGAACGCGCGCGTCGTGTTTCCGGACGAGAAACGAAGCTCAATGAGCTCCACTCGTTACCGGCCCAATTAATCCTGTTTATCTCGAATCGCGGATAAATCGTGCGTTCTTTTTTCTTTTCTACGTTTCGAACGAGGTGGAGCTCGAGGACGCGTCTCTCGAAAATCACGGGACAAAGAGCGTCGGAAAACGGTGCGAGCATCGTTTTCATTTGCACGCTGATCCGTGTAAAAAGGAATCGTGCGAGTAGTATTGACACGTGTTTGGTCCGACCCGCGGGAACAACGACACCGCGGTTTTGAAAGCGATCACCCGTGTCAATGCGCCATTGTGACAATGGAAAATGTGTAAAATGGAATGAGCCGGGCAACGATTTTACAAAATTGTTTGGCGACAATTTCGTTCCGTGGATTCGCGAGATCCAGTAAGAAGACGTCGTTTGCCGTGCGAAAATAATTCGGGTGGTGCGAGTATCGCGTTACTTCGCGAGGAGGGTCAAAACGCGAGAGACCGATCGAAGTTGTTTGCCCAATAAAGAGAGCGTTGCTCGAGACGGACGTCCGAGGAGTCGTTATCTCGTCCTATATAGGTCTGCTGTCCGGCCAAAGGCAGCCAGCCAAGGCGGTCAGAGCTCGTATCTGGTCACGCCACCGCACCGGTTAAATTCCCCCTTACGTACTTATCGCGAATTAAAGCGCTCCTTCAAAGGGGTAGGCCGGAGACACGGAAAGGTAAAAGCGGTCCCTCCTACCCCATCCGTCCGTCTCTGTATTATCGCGTTTCGGATGAGTTTCACGCGACCGCGCAACCGTCACTCGACATTAACGTTTCCATTATACGATTACGACTAAACCCATCGTTCCCGATTTATCCGCGGCGCGTACGTCTTTCGATGAAATTCGTCGACCCGTTCGTGAGATTGCGGACCCATCCGACGTCGTTTTATACGTCTCGATGTTACCCCGAACGATCCGCGCGGGTTAACGATCGCGAACACCTACGTAAACTGTGCAGACGCTCGTAACAGGTGTACTCGCGGCGATAAAAACACCCCCAGCCGTGAGCCCTAACCTCCGATGCAATTTTCTGAAACATCAGATCCGTAAATCTGTCCACATGTCAAGATAATAAATTGCATCAAGAGCAGTGTACGGCAATCTCATGTCGCAGCAATTGCGCAGTTAAAATCCTTAGCTCGGACGTCCGACGATACGATTGATTACGACGAAACGACACAAAAATCAAGCTGCGCGGTTAATTATCCTTAGGAAAATCGAACGGGGACGGGGGGTTGAAATGATCTCGTCCTCCGTTAGATCGATGGCAATTTGTTAAAGCATGGCGTGCGACTGGATATGCGTGCGAGTTCAGCGCTGTCGAGAAATAAGTGGCGAACACGGAATGTGCTAGCCCCGGGGCCGGACAATTCGGTACGATATAAAAGCCGCCACTCCCGCCCTGTGGTTCCCTATCTTTCGTCCGAGTGGCAAGCCGCGTGTACCCTCCGCCCTCCCAGCGTGTACCTACGTAAAGGTCGTGGGCGATAAATTTATCCGGACGATAAGAGCCCGATTTTTGTCTTTACGAGCCTCGCCGGGCCCTTCCCCGTCCGCGGAAGCAGATATAGAAAGGGCGGCTTCCGGGTTATGGCGTGACCGGCGTCACCCTTCACGCGGCGAAGCAAAAATAAAGAAACACACTAAAAGAAAGGGAGAACTGCCTAAAATGCACGCGAGCGTTTCGCAAAAACAAACAATTCCGGTCTTGATCGAATTCAGTGATTTCGAATACGGTCAATTATAATTGTCATTCGGATCGAAACGGGAACGACCAGTGAGTAGTGTACGTCGAAAGGGCTATCGCGTAATGCTATCGAGGCACATTTTCCCCTCGGACGCTCGCCGGGCGGACAGCCGCGTAAAAACCGCGTGGAAATCGTAGGGTGATTCCCCTGGTCGTTTCCGCGCTTCGGGGTAGAGGAAACGGAAGAACTACGTACGGGACGACCGGTTTTTCATCGATTACTCGCGGCAACGCGACGCCGGTTCGGGGACGGGGGAGTGAAAACGAAAAGAGCAGCGATCTATACGCTCTTTGTCGGCTGACTCAGCTGAAACGCACGCGCCATTAATATTAATTATCGTGTACACACGCGTCGTCATCGCGAATACTCTTTTTTGGGGCGGAAAACGGTTCAGACGGCACTCGAAATCGAGAGAACGGGCCTCTCTCGTTCCCGTTCAATCGCGACTTTCGCGGAGCACGAGGGAGCCAAGTGGCCAGGTCTGCGATTAATTATGAACGACGAAAGGACTCGCGAACGAGGCCCTTCGTCACGATTCACGGGCTTTTCGCGTAGAAACTAGTAAGTAAATGAAGTGCGAATATCCGACACGAATCAATATTGGGGTCGAACTGGGTCAGTGCTCGCGCCGTCGAATAACGCGAATGATTTATGTGATCGCAATTCGCGCGCGTAACGAATTCGTTGCTGGATTCTTAATAGATGAGGAATTCCTAGAATACGTTGTGTAAGCGGGTGGCACAAAAC